TACAATACCGTACTTGCAGTAAAGCGTATCCTACGCATCTCTACCACTTAAATTTAATAATGTAAATATTGGCATTTGAAATTCTTTTATATTATTTTACGTATCACGTAAATAAAAATCTGTGTTTCACCTTTAAAAACACATGAGACGTTATAATTTGGTAATATAATAAAAAAGAACCATTCTGGATCCAGTCTTTCCGTCTTGGTTCATAATAAAATTAACCTTTTTTATTTCGCGATCTCAATCCATGAATTAACATGCCAGTCCTGTTTTAGATATCGCAAAGAATAAATAAACAAATCAAATTACTCATTAAAATACAATTAATTATTAAAACGTCACAAAGTTTCTCACAAAATTTCGTTATAATTGGTCGGAATTACAGGGACGTATTCAGAAATGAGCGGGCGGAGGGTTCCGTTTCACAACTTATTTATGCGACACTAATTTCGGGGGACTTCTAATCGCTTAAGATGGCCTTGTAAATTTTAATGTAATCATTAATGGATGATTTGACCTTAGTACTAACTTGGGGCGGTCGTTTTTGCTCGTAAAGCTGATGAGATGTATAATATTTGACGTCACGTCCTTAATTCTTCTTAATTTGTGATTAAAAAAAATAGACGGGCTGCACTCCGGGAGTGCCGGCAGAAGTGAAAACTTGAATATTAACGTTGTGAATTTTTGATATTTTGGAATGGTTAGGGAATAATTTTGCACGAATTGCTTTACATCATTTATGTGGTAGAATACAATATTTATTTATTGCGCTATCGTACACAAACATGACAATTTATATTACATTAAAAAGTTTATCTCTCAGAAAAATCAACATACATGAATCACATTTAAGCGCACCTAGCGACATCTATTGTAAAAAATGCATTTTCTTCGCAATAAACCTGCCACCTGGACGTCCTAATTAGAGACTTATTATTATAATACGATAAAATTAAACATTACTATGTTTCGTCCAATATATTGAAAGTCAACAACCTTTCCAATGTTATTGTTTTCGTCTCACGAATTTTCGATTAGGTCACGTGTCCTGACGCGATGAGGACACGTGTCCTGAAGCGAGTTTAACAATTTTTACCCATTACAAAAAAAGTGTACAACGCCGCTAAACAAGTTTTCACTTCAAAAATTAATAATATCTCAAAGCTGCATTAGAATCGACATAACGACAAAGAACCATTTGCTTTGAATCGAATTACAAAGCCCTATATTAACGTAATTATTTACTAACGTGATAGTCTTATCATACTAGAAACCAGATTTTTATTGCTTTTTAATTTTACTTTTTATAGCGGAACTAGGTTTTTTTAATAGCACCATCTTCATTTCGTGTTTTCCCATTAATGGCATGGCTCCCAATAAAATTAAGATATATATATATTTTAACTTAAAAATAAAAATGATTTCCCACGTATAATATTTTGTAATATTACTTGTTTGGGTGTACAGAATGCGTAGTTTTAGTTTTTGTCATTGATTTTTTTACACCCTGTATATGTATGTGTGTGTGTGTATCTGGATTCTTATCCGAACTACGGTTAGTGTCGTGGGCTCTCGTATTACCTAGTCCTGCCTGACACATTATAAAATCTAAATTTTCCACACCAACCCCTGGATGTCATGCATGGCGATATTTTAAGAACCAGTGCGCAAGTCGTAAAACTAAACTATGCCTATAAACTGTAAATTCACATTTTTTAGATCGGTCCGACTAATTACTCCACCCCACTCGATGTTAAGTGACGGTGAAGTCCAAACTTGTAGATCCATCCTCACCTTACCGGCCTGCATGCTGCTTCTTCACGCGTCTTAAAAGATCCCAGGTTGTAAGAAGAAGAGAACACACAATATTTGTGTGTTCTCTTCTTCTTACAAGTTGTCTGGAAGAGATCGCTCTTAGCGATAAGACCACCCATTATTACACTGTATTCTTTAATTATGTACTTCATGTTTTATGTTTTCTGTGGTGTAAAAATAAAGAGTTTTGTACTGTATTGCAATATTGTCTATGGCTTTCTGCTGCTCCTGAGACCTTATTAAAAGCGCTTCGTATAATAATTTTTTTATCCTACTTCTGCGCTTGTTGGAACATTGGAAATACTCTTAATTTGGCCAATATGAAGTAAGTTTTTTATCATAGAGAAAGGGTGTTACATTGTTAGCTGAAGCAAAAAAACTAAGAAACCAATTAATGTGTCTACCGCAGGTAAAAAAAAATATTAATTTAATAATCTGTGCCACACAAAAGATTCGAATTCGTGTCTCATCTTCATCTCACTAGTGAAGCAATCTCTTTTAATGGGTATTTTTCAATAATCCGCAACCCTTCGAGTGGATTAATACGACTGTAATTCAATCTTACTTCGGTGCCAGTCCAGTTAACAAACTCGCCGAGACATCTTTTACTTTTTTTTAATTACGCAAAACGAAATTCGTTCGTGCTAATAATTTAATTGTGTTCTGCATCCGATTCTAAATGGCCACGAAATTTGCGGCGATACCTATTGTTATTAATTTATTGTATTTGTTTTTAAGCGTATTTCTTTTCTTTTTGAATCTAATGACTGAGCGAGTTTTTTAATCCCCACCCCACCTGATAAAACCGTGATTCTTCAATATCCCAAGTTTTAAGGAGGTTTCCACGTCATGCTTAGGGAGAGTTCCATTTATAAATTTATACATTTTTAGTAAGGCTGGTTGTCGTGAATTTGTATTTAAAATGTCTACTACATTATTTCTTTGAAGGATAACTTTGATTCCTCAGTTATATTGTAAGCAATATGTATATCTTCCTTATTCATTATTTTCAGAAAACATGGTCTAAAACTTTAACTTTAATAAACAAAACTTTGATAAGGATATAGTGTAGATAAAAAGTGGATCTTCACAATATAATTAGTATCAAAGAAACGGATAATTTTTAGTTCTTGCTGAACTGGAGAAAAAATTTAAACTTCGGCTTATTGGAAAAGAAAAAAATCACAAACTCTTAAGTTTTTAATACCGTAAAGATATTATCTAAGTACGTCAAATCTTCTAATCGTATATTAATAAAATTTATTCGATTAGCAAGAAGACTTTTAAGACATGACAGACCTTGTTAATATGGTATAAACTTTGCGCCAACTTGAAAGCTAAGTAAGGACTACATTTCTATTAAAGTTTTATTGTACCCCAAAACTACTAAGTTGAACGTAGTTTTCTTGTAACTTTGTTGTCTGCTTTTAATTTAAAATTTGTTAAATGCATATCATTTGTATTTCGTTCTAGTCTCTTTTTGTTTCTATTACATTTTATTGCAAAATGTTACATTAGTAAATCAAACATCGAAAAGTAATCCGACAAGTGTTTAGAATCCTTCCTTCGTTCATAATTTATTAGTGAATAGTACTTATAATTTTCTTACTTATAGACATCAGTAAAAAAAGAAAATAAAATTCTGTTTCCGAAAATGGCGCGGAAACGTTTCTCTAGCAAAAATGGTGACGTCACACGGTTCCAATTAAAACGTCAAACAGAACAAAGTAATATCACTTCGACAACATATTTACAAGCATGTGACGTCATTTTAGGTTTCGTAAATTATTAGCGTGTTCGGTCACGTAACCATTGATCAAAAAACACTTTGATTTATATTAAAAAATTAATAACCAGAATAGTGAAATTGCTCCCAAATAGTCATGTTAAAGACACATGCCAAAGTTGATTCTTTATTTTTCATACTGTCAAAATAGCCTATTACATAGTGGTAAAACAAAGAACTTGTTAACCAAAGGTGAGGGTAAGTTTTTGTAGGTGTTTTTATTTTTTGGGTATTTAGGCTGAAAAAATGAACAATATCGCCACATACTGACGTCCTTATTGGAATGATTGCGTTTAAGCTTTGCCAGCAGTGCGTAATTTAGGTCCAACAGTACCTAATTGCAATGTACAAAACTTAAAGTAAAAATAGTTCCACCATCCACAGTTTCTACACAGAACCGCAGGCATAATCACGTTTTTCTGCTTTAGCAGCTTTTTTATGAAATTACGCAGCGAAGAGCGGACATTTTGGCTGCAAAGGGGCGGTACCCTCGTAAAGTTGCAAATGAAGTAATATTATATCGGCCCCGACCTGACTTACGGTCGGAAAGTTCTGAAATTTCATGAGAGCATTTTTTTTGTTTCCTTGGTTCTCTACACAAAGTGCGTTCTGGCAAAAAAAAATAGAAACTCTCTAGACACGACTAGTAAACGTCCGTTTGAAAAGGCTAGCTTTAGAAAGTGTCCCAAAAGAGTTTGAAAAAGAAATGAAACTAATATTAATGTATTAGTATAAACGTGACTCTCAGTCATACCTCGAGGCATTACTTTGGTCCTATTTATACAAAAGCAACGTTGTCACAGTCAATTGAAAAGTCCAAAATTTACTCGAGCATCGGTTGGCAATTTCACTCAAAAGAAATCCGCGTACTTTATTTTTTAAAGTCTTCCTTTCATAACAGGATGGGACTTAAATGTTCTGCCTCTTCTCAAAATAAAGGACGTAAAACATACTTCATAACATGTCCACAGCAGACTGTTAATTATTAAATGAAACCACGAATCCACATTGAGTTAAAAGGAAATTACCACTATGCTACACTAACTATAAAGCGCCTTTAATTTTGGCTCACTATTTACTCAGAGTCATTTAATTAAGCTGTATAAATTGGCCGCTTCTCGGGCGTTGTTGGGCCGCTCTGTAATTAATATTGACCATTGCTTCCAAAACGGCGACGGCATGCTCAGAAAATGGAACAGTTGAAATCTATTCCAATACTTAAAGCCGATTCACACCGGAATGGCAACGGCCGGCAGCGGCGTGCGACAAGCACTTTCAGTGTCAACTTCCCCTTCCCTCCGGACATCTGAGGTGATCAGACGTGTTTCATATAAATCCGTACAACAAAATTATTTTAAACTAAAAATTTAACACATTTAATTTAAAACAATTATTAGGAGCGCATAAGAGGGCGGACGTATAATTTTCTTCCTAAGAAGAACTCATGTAAGTGCAATAAATATCTACTACATTACCGAACAATACAGAGGTCTTATTGAGGTGGAAGGATAGGTGTTTCGTGCGAAATCAACGCGAACGACCAGTGAATATAGACCCCTGAGCTACGAAGGTCTCATTATAGTGGACGGACAGCTGTTTTGTTCGAGACCATCGCGACCGACCATTGATTACTGACCCCCAGCGTACCTGTATCGCATCCTCCTTTAACTCATTGATTTCTAGTACTTTGTGTCGAAGTTATACGAATACGCACTATGCCGCTGAGACACTCTCCTCCCTCTGCGTCTGCCCCTGCGCAACCGCTCGCGCAAACACATGTTTCGCATGCGCCTGCAACGCTTGACTGTGAGTCGTATTCCTTATCAGATAATGACGCCAGTACGCAGCGACAAAAGCGTAAAAGAACAAGTACGACCGATGCGCAACTGGCTGGTTTTATGGCGGAAATGAGGAGTTTGTTTTTTAGTTTCAAGGAACAACAGGATAATAAATTAAATAAAATTTGTAGCACTATCGAAGAAGTAAAAACTCAAAATAATGATATAAGAGCTTCTATTGAATTTCTCTCGAGCAAATACGATAGCGTTTTGGAACAGGTTAACACGCTTAAGGAGGAAGTTTCGCAGAATCAAAAATATATTGCAATATTAGAAGATAAACTAGAAAGGTTTGAAAGAAGCTCCCGTTCTACCTGTATTGAGATTAAGAATATACCGGTTGAGAAATCGGAAACAAAGGCTTCTTTATTAAAAACGTTTACTGATATCGGTTCACTTCTTTCCACCACTGTACACTCTCACGAAATAAAAGACATATTTCGCATCAATTCCAAAAACTCCGAAAAGAAAACTACTATGATAATCGAGTTAACAAGTGTAATTGCAAAGGACGCATATCTGAATGCATATAAAAAATATATCAAAAGTCATGGTAATTTGACCACCGAAAATTTAAAAATACCTGGATCCGCTGTGCCTATATTTATTTCCCAAAATCTGACAGCCAAAATGAAACGTTTATTTTATCTTGCTCAGGTATTTGCCAATAGTAATGATTTTAAATATTGTTGGTCTACTAATGGAAAAATTTTTATTCGGGAGAAAGAAGGTGCCACTCTTCATTGGATCAAGGATGAAAACGACTTACAAAAACTAGTTATACAAAAATGACTGGTTTTCCCTTGTATAACATGTATTATTTTTTATTGTATAGTTAATTTACTTTGTAAAATTAGTTTGATACTCAATTTTAGTTCAACGTTGGTTTTTTGTGAACTCTTTTTTAATTACACACATCCACAGACATCTTTACACACATTTTACTTCAACCTTGCACACACATTTAAAACAAATTGTTCTAAAACTTTAATTTTACCGACTGTATATAGAAATCGATTGGGTCTCGTAAATAAAATTATGTGCTCAGAGATATATTATATATACATTTATATTTGTTCGTATATAAACTGTTATAAAATTAAAACTGATTATGGCTGAATGCCTAAAAATAAATTCAGAATTGGACCTTATATCTGTTGGTAGCTCATATACTTGCTCGCCGGAAAATTCTATTAATTATCTGCCTGATGCGAATAATACTTTGAAAATTCTGCATGTTAATATAAGAAGCATTGGTAATAGTAGTAACTTTGATGGGCTGTGTATTCTGTTGCAAAGGTTTTCATTTGAAATCGATATTATTATACTGTCTGAATGTTGGTTGAGTAAATGTCCAAATATTCCTAACATAACTGGATATTTATCACATAATTCCAAATTCACCAACCAAAATGATGGGGTTGTGGTTTATATAAAACAGAGCTTGCATTTTTCTGTCGAGGAACCTCAGATAGACGACTCTAGCGGTCTCGTTATAAAACTCTCAACAGAAGTTGCTATTCTTGCAATGTATCGCTCCCCGTCTTACAAAAATGTTGATAAATTTTTGTTTGCATTGGACTGCTTTCTACCTTCATTAAGGTCTTTTAAAACGGTAGCTCTGATCGGTGATCTAAATATAAATATATCATCTGAAAGTAATGATGGTTGCTCTGATAAGTATCTTAATCTGCTGGCTTCTCATGCTATGTTGCCCGGCCATAATTTACCAACTCGCCATCAGAATTGTATTGACCATGTGATTTTAAGAACAGACAGAACAGCTGTTTCTCTCGTACTAGATTCCCATTTTACTGATCACTCACCAGTTTTGTCATTTGTTGGTTTTACTTGTACTAAAAATAAACAAAATCATACAATAAATAGGGTTGATATTGCGGCCTGTGTAGGGGAACTTGAGAAGACAAACTTCTCATCTGTTTTGCAGAATTCTGACGCAGAGAATGCTGCAAATTCTTTAGTTAATATCGTGTCTCATATAGTGAAATCTAACTCCAGCGTGCATACTATTCCAGGCAGAAAACGAATAATAAAACCATGGATTACACCAGGCTTACTCCGTTGTATTCGACATAGAGATAAACTTTTCCGTAGGTCTAGGCAAGAACCTGATAATGTCATTATTTCTGTGTCATACAAAAGGTACAAAAATTATTGCAACAACTTGCTAAAAAGAGTTAGATGTGAGTATGAGCGGTCCCAGTTTGCTAAAAATAAAAATAATATCAAAGGTACTTGGAACGTAATAAAAACCATAACAAACATGAATAAAAGAAATAATTCTGATGCACTTTTGTTTTTACATGGGGATCCTTACGTTTCCGTTGACCAGGTTAATGAGTCCTTTATCGGTGTGGGTGACAGGCCAATGCCTGTCGCGGCTGATATCCCTCTTACAGTCCCGCTTGAATATGTTTCTGAGACATCTTCTCAGGATTCGATGGCTTTATTCACTACAGATGAAAAGGAAATCGATTCTATAATTATGAGTCTCAAATTAAGTAGTGCCGTTGGTTGGGATGGTATTCCTACCTCACTCGTAAAGGCCACTAGACATGTCATGACGCCAGTTTTGAACCATGTCTTTAACCTCTGTCTCACTACTGGTGTATTCCCTAGTGTTTTTAAAAGGGCAATTGTTCACCCTATTTTTAAAAGTGGGAATAGAGACAGTGTCTCAAATTATAGACCCATTTCCGTGCTTTCTGTTTTCTCGAAAATCTTAGAGAAAATACTACAAAAGATTAATTGACTTTCTGAATGCTCAACAAACTATTTCAACAAATCAGTTTGGTTTTAGAGCGGGAAAATCCACTGAAGATGCGGTCCTTGAACTTACTGGGTCAATTGTCAAAAACTTAAACAAGAAGTTGAAGTCTCTGTGCCTCTTTTTAGACATTTCAAAGGCTTTTGACACTGTCTCGGTCCCTATACTATTGCACAAATTGGAAGTCTTGGGGGTGCGTGGGCTGGTACTGGAATTGTTTAGAAGCTATCTAAGCGGCAGATATCAGTGTGTTACCATTAATAATATCACCAGTAACGAGAAATCAAACATATCTGGAGTTCCTCAAGGTAGTGTGCTGGGCCCGACCCTATTTCTAATATATATTAATGGTTTGTGTCAGCTGTGTCTGCCGAATTGTAAAATTGTCACCTACGCAGATGATACGGCAATTCTTGTACATGGACAGAATTGGGAAGAAACTCGAACTTACGCTGAATGTGCCTTAAAAACAGTTTTATCATGGCTTTCCAATAACATGTTGCTTTTAAACCTAAAAAAAACTTGCTATATTACATTTGCACCTAAACTTCATTCTCAACCTGATGCCTCATTTAGAATAACTGCTCATGAGACTCAGTGTCCCACCATAGATAATCTTTCGCTTGCATTTTGCAAATGTTATGAAATATTACGTTTAAATAATGTGAAATATTTGGGTGTTATCGTTGACAGTGTAATGTCCTGGCGGGATCATATTGAATCGGTTTCTTCTCGTATCAGGAAACTGATATTTATCTTCAGGAAACTACGTATCAGTGCTGATGAGGGTACATTGAAGACAGCTTACCTAACACTAGCTCAATCAATATTGACTTATTGTATCACCGTCTGGGGTTCCTCCGCAAAAACCAATCTCATGTTACTTGAACGGGCTCAACGAGCAGTACTAAAAGTTATGGCATCAAAACCTATTTGGTACTCAACAGTTCAGCTTTATGAGTTATGGAAGGTTCTATCGGTTCGAAAACTATACGTTTCTAATGTTATTTTGCGTAAGCACATATCCTGCACTTATAATCCCGAGTTAGCTTTGAATACTAGATTAGCTAACAGAATCTTCAGGATTGAAAACTGCACAACGATGCTGGCTAGACGGCATTATTTGTACCTTAGCTCAGTTTTGTACAATAAAATTAATTATAAATTACATATTTACAGTTTACCATATCGTGAATGTAAAAGTGTTTTAAATGAGTGGCTGCTTAGCCTTCGATATGACGATATCGAATCTCTTATACAGTAAAATAATAAATAAAAAAATATGTAAACCTACAAAATACAAAGAGAGATACACACACACACACACACATACTCATACAGTCACAAACACATACGCAAAAACGTTTTTATAAATGTTAAAGTTAGTATTTTTAGTATTTATTGTTACTAGTTATCATGTTCGAGGTGGGGCGCTAATAACTGCGACACAGTCTCTGACTAGTGTAGTTGTTAACGTTTTACATTGTTCTGTACAAATTATTTAATTGCAAATAAAGATTTTTATTATTATTATTATTATTATTATAGTGTGAAATATTTTTTTACTTTATCTACATGCTAGCGGCCGCCCGCGACTTCGTCCGCGTTGACTTTAGTTTATTGAGAATCCCATAGGAACCTGATATATCTCCAGGATAAAAGTATCATATGTCTCAATCCAGCTCATAATCTATATGCCTACCGAAATTTCATTCAAATCCGTGCAGTTGTTTTTTGTGTGATTGAGTGAGTAACAAACAAACAAACTCACTTTCGCATTTATAATATTTGTTAGGATTTAAAGAACAGTATCGCTTAAAAATTTAAAAGGTCGCGCGGCCGCCCACGGTGCCTCCCACTCGCAACTCCACGGGACCTTTTCATGCAATACTAGTCTTAAAAGTATATAGATAAAGTTTTAAATTATTTCACACTGAAAGCTCTCGCCACGTCACTTCTGGCCGCTGTCACTCCGTTTGTGAATCGGCCCTTACGTGCAACGAGAGTTGTAAAGTCGATATGTAATTGCTGAACGCAGTGGAATGCCACGGAGATTGCTTTGGCCGATATTAAACCTTCCTCGTTAGAACGTTAGCCTGAGATTTGTTATGAACAGAAACACATATTACTTGTATACGAAAACTGTTACCGAATTCTTTATACTGGTACGAAAAGATTCAAATATAGACTAAATTCCTGTATTTCTAGAGATTGGATATAATTATTAGATCACCGTTGTAGTTATCTGTTCAAATATCAACCTTTGTTTTGAAACTAGTACATTAATAAATTCCAGACATCTTACACCAATTATTTAAGTTATTATTTACGTTTTCGATTATTTTCAAGTGCCGAGTTCCCTCTCAAGTAGATGTGCGGTGAGGCGTAACGAACAATTTATTAATAAGTACCTACTCAAAGCTAATTTTGGTAGAAAATATCTGGTACATGAATACATACTGTAATATCTTTCTATACCTATATACACACGTCCATGAATTGTTTTAATTGTAATTTATGATGTGTTCATATTAATATATCATATCATAATCAAATTGATTAATATTGTAATAACATATTCATGATATTGTTTAAATGAGCTCTGTTTGGTATTAAATAATTATGAATATATTTTATTACTGCCATAATTTAATCCAAACTATGATTTTCTCGTCATCTATTTTTGAACTCGTTATTCAATATATTCTCTTGTAAATGCTAATAAATATATATATAAATTAAATAAATATTTCGCAAGCCATATAAAATACAATAACAGAATAATATCGCAAAGGTAGCACTTACCGAACTCCGTAAAATGGCATCGCGGAGCCGTAATCCGATACAAATTTTTGTTAGTTGACCAACAACGGTATCTCTAAAAATATCATTATAGTACAATAGTTGACAGCGTCATTGCCAATTCGCATAACCCTTGTCAGGCATAACAACGTTTGGCCCAGCGCCACGAGCTGTGCGAAAACATACCAGCTCAGAATATTGTTTTTACTATTTCACAAACGAGTTGTTCCCCTGAAAGGACAGAAGAAGATGTTTCTTGGCCTTTTACGACCGCTCCAAGTTAGATTGCTGTGTTTACTATTCAAATTTGGTTATCATAAACAATTTCCATAGAAATAGTATTATTTTAATGTAATACACATCAAACTCAGACCTCTCACTACAAAACGCGGAATAAAGTATTGGTTTAAATGTAATGTTGTCTTTGTCTTCTTATTTGTCCAGGTATATATAACTTTAGCCTACGATTTATAGTCAGGCCATATATGTTTTCATCCATAGGCCGCTAGCTAATATCCGGTTGGAAGAACGATGATTGTATGGTGTTTGCGTAGGTAGAACTTTAAATGAGATAGAATAGATATCAATCAATGATGTTTTTTTTGGTAGATAATTTTAAAGTTTTACAAGCAAAGGAGATTGCTCAGCTTCTATACATGTTTGGCCTAAAAACCAATAATCATGAAAAATTATTTCCTAGATTCGAAATTATATATCAATTACTGTAGAAACGAATATTATTGACGGACACCCCTGAGAACTTCTATAAAACATATATACTGAACATATTAAAATAATAAAAAACAAATAAGTTATATAGTAAACTAGGGAAATCAAGCAAAGTACCGAAATTGTGGATTAGATTCAGGTTTATAGAGCATGTAGAAAATAGTTGCCTGTTTTTGAAGTTAATGCATAAGAGTAACTTTTAAAATCAGGTGTCATCTATGCATTTCCGGTTATAATAAGGACCTCTGTGACAGAACCCGTGTGATGATTGTGAATGAGCCACAGATTAGAGAGAATTTTTAAACTCTCGTTAACCAAAGAAAGCTAAGAGATTTAGGTTATATAGCCATATATTCAGTAGCCTCATTATTTTTGTTATGTTTTTAATATAACCATATTTTACATTTTTAGTGTATCAAATCTTATAATTTTATTTATTTATTAATTTATAGTCAGCAACGTAGGGCCATAGATAGATACCTTAAAGTCTAACATTTAAACAGATTATTATATGTTTATGGAGGTGTTTGGCGATTAATGTATGGCAATAGACTTTATGATATCGCGTACCATCTATAATAATTGTCTGAGCACATTTGCATGTAGTTAAAATGATAATAAAGTTGTGGATATTAATACCACAGTGTAATAAAAAAAATGATTTATTTTATCGATCTTTACAAAATAGATTTGTTTTTATGTTATATAACCAACTTCGATCAGTCTTTGGCTGAATGTTACTACAACCATAGCCATTAAAAATGATTCGTATGTCGATCGTGTTTGATTATTTTACAAAATATAAAAGAGATTACAAGCCAGATATTTATATCTGATCTATAAGCTGATGTTGCTCTGGTCTATAAAAAATGTTTTTTTTTAATAAAAACCCACTTTTTAATAACAAACCCACTAAAAATTAAGAAAAAAATCATTTTCTTTACCTAAGTATAATGTACCTTTAAAGTCTAATTAATATTTGGATCAGTGAAATTAATATTTGGGTTGGCATGGCACCGACACCAAATATTACTATAATTGACATAACTATAATTGCTATTTCTTCTTTCAAATGTTTAATACTTGAAAAAGTATTCATTTGACCTACAATGCGAAGAAATGGCGCTGCCTTACAGCTTAAGGCTAGGAAAATTTCGACGCTGCCATCAGGACCCTGGTAGCATAATTGGTCAGTGCATTCGCCCGAATTGCGAAGGGTGCGGGTTCGAGTCCAGTCCGCTGCTTGGTCCGCGTGGTTTTTTCTAGTAAAACTTTTCTTTACATAACCAAATATTAGTTTGACTTTAAAAGGTAATACATAAGTAAAGAAAATGTATTATTTCTTAATTTTTTGGGGTTTTGTTTTTATAAGTCGGTTTTCATTTTTTATTATCCCATTACAAGAGTGGTCACTCTCCAACAGCAGAAGAGGGAG